GAGGTGCCCCCCCGAGCTGGCGATGGAGGAGACGGTGGGCAGCAATGTCTGGGCCACACTCATCACCGCCAGGGAGAAGACATTGGCCAGGGACAGGAAGGGGGTGGTGGGAGACCAGGGTGTGCTGGTCACAGGGGGGCTCAGGGGGCTGCTGGGCTCACAGGGGAGAGGGGACATGGGGAGAGACTGTGGGGATCAATAGTTGAGTATGGGTCAGAGGCTTAGTTTGGGGGTGTCTGTGGGAATGTTGGTGATGATGTGAGCCAGGAGGGAGCCATCGAGACAACAGGCCAGGTCTGCATGGAGCCTGCAGAGAGAGGAGCATCAGGAATAGCCCCCACGGACTCCCTCCTCCCCAGTGCTATGGACGTGCCCAGCCCTGCCAGGACTGTACCTGCAGGGGACCCCAGTGCCATGGGGACTGCTGGTGGCTCCACAGGGCTGGCCAGGTTGGTCTCTGACGGGGAGCGACTCAGCGATGGCAGGACAGGGGACTGGACAGAGAGGCTGGGACTGGTGCACCCCAGGTCTGCAGCACAGGGGTGACAGCCAGGCTCAGCCAGGGCAGGACATGCCCCATGAGACCCCCTAGGCTTGGCTGAGGCCATCATGGCCCTACATGGGGCTCGGGGGAGACAGGATGGGCCTGTGCAGGGGCAGACATACCACTGAGCAAGGATGAGGAGGATATGGAGTGCGAGAACTCCTGCAGCTGCAGGTCCACCTGTGAGGAGAGTGAGCTGACCCCAGTGCTGGGGTAGAGGCCCTGGCCAGGTTGAGCCAAGCCCCTGTTGGCCCCCACCCCAGTCCCACCACTTCTGGGGACAGGAGCTGGCACCTCTGCTGGGCAGGGAAGCACCACAACTTGTCACAGGAGCAGGCAAGTGCCAACAGGAGGACCCTGCCTCTAGCCCCCTCCCCGTGGGCTCCCCAGGGCCAGGCTGGGCTGGGCTGGCACTCACAGGGCTGCCCGTGCCACGCTCAGCCTCGGGGCTCTTGGGCAGCTCAGCGCCGCTGCGCCCATCCTTGCGGAGCAGAGTCTCCACGCGGTGGATGATGTCCCGGATGCGGTGGATGAAGCTGTCCTGCTCCGACTTGAGGATGAACTCATTGTGGACCTGAGGGCAGAGGGGCTGGTCAGCACCCCGCATGGCCAGCAGACCCTCACCCTCACCCTTGCTCCGCGCTCACCATGACAGCTGCGATTTCCTCCGGGTTGTCCCCATCCAGGTCGAACTTGAAGGTCACCATCTTGTTGTTGTAGGTCTGCAGTTGGCACTCCACCACGCGGTCGTTCTTGTCGGAGATCTGTGGGCAGCAGGGCTAGCTCAGCCAGGGAGCGCCTGCCTGGCCCACCCCGGCCCTGCAGCACTCACATTGGTGATGCGCAGCCTGGACCGCGCTCGGCGCCGCAGCAGCTTCCCCGAGGATCTCTTGGGGGGCAGCTTGGTGCTCTGCTCGCTGGCTGAGAGCCCCTCACAGCCGTCACTCATGCCTGATGCCACATCTGAGGTGTAGCTGCAAGAAGCCCCAGTCCTTTAGCACAGCCATTCCCAGGTGCTCTCTATCTAGCCCCCACCCGGACCCCCCAGACTCATTTTTTTTTAAAACGCCCTTAGCCGAGGGCAAGCGCTCAGTGGGCAGCTGCACCGCGATGCTCTGTGGGGAGAGGACAGGGTGAGCTGGAGCCACAGCACCACGACCCCCCACCCAGGGGGCCCTGCTCACCGTGGGGAAGCAGCTCCCGGGCCGGGCGGGCAGTGGGCTGGCAGGGTCCCCTGCCAGGAAGCCATGATGGGCCAGGTCCGGGGAGTCCAGGAAGCCGGAGGAGCTCAGGTACCCATCTGTCTCACAGTCAGCTGCAGAGGAGCAGTGGCATGAGCTGGAGCAAGCCCCCTCCCTGGCTGGGCCCCTGGGAAAGAGCTGTGGGGCTGGGAGCAAGGGAGGGACCCTCCACTCGCCTCCCACCCCAGATGCCCTGTTGCCCACCCAGCTGTCACCCCACCAGTGCCTACGCACAGGTGGCTGAGGAGTAACTGGTGTGCCGGTAGGCAAAGTGCTGGTCAGCCTCGGGCTCCTCAGGCTCTGAGGGAAAGGTGCTGCTGAAGACAGAGTCCCCAGAGCCAGGGGTGGCCAGAGCAGGTGTAGCTGGCAGTGGGGACTTGAGCTCCTCCAGCATCCGCAGGACGCCTGCAGGCTGCTCCGGCTCCACAGGCAATGGCACATTCTGAACACGCTTCAGCTTCTCCCGTTTGCGCTTGATGGCCACCACGCGGTCCCGCACCGCCTTGGCCACCAGCTTGTAGTCGGCCTCACACACAAAGCCCAGGACCACCTGCACGGGAGAGGGCTCGTCACTCCGGGGCACAGGGACCCTGTAGGGCCCAGGGCTCCCCTCCGGGGCCCCCTCCTCTGCCACATCCTTGTAGAGCTCAAAGAGGAACTCGATGGCGTTGTTGTCCTTGTATTTGCCATGCAGCTTCTTTGTGTCGTCCATGCGCAGCCAGAGCTTCAGCCCAGACTTGACTCCGTCATCCTCCTCGGCCAGCTCCACATGCACCCCTGTGTCCTCCTGGAAGAAGGAGTGCTCCAGCAGGTCCTGGATGGTGTACCTGTGGAGAGCACAGCTCAGGGTGGGTTGGGGGCCAGGGGGGACCCTCCCACCCAGATCCCCCACTCTGCCCCCACCTCTCATTCTTGTCCATGCGGATGCAGCCCTCAATGATCTCCTTCAGCTCTGGCACCTTCACCTTGTAGAAGCTGCTGGGCTTCAGGCCCTGGGGGTGATGAGTGTCAGCACCTCCTGTGCTGATCCACCACAGTGCTGGGCTCCCAGGGCCCAGGGAAGAACCAGCCCAGGGCCCCACCGGCTCTGCAGCAGCTCCCGTGGCCTGGCCACGTGTGCCTGTATGGGCCAGGATGCCCCAGGGCTCCAGGTTTCCCCCCCATCAGGCAGGAGCCGGCGTGGACTGGCTGGGGCAGCCACATTGCCCCAGGCAGGGAGTGGCTGGACAGACCTGCTCCTGTTCCACCCCATTAACGTGCTGGCAGTGTCTGGTGCAGGGCAAGGGATGCAGGGTCTGGCCAAGCCATGGTCCCACCACCACCCACAGCCCCATGCCCTAGCACAGCACCCCTCGCCACCCAGACTATCTTCTGTCACTTGTGCAACCTGCACAGTGGCACATTTAGGGCAGCAGCAAGGCCTGGCAGCTCCAGCTGACCATGCTCCCAACCCCTCATCCCAGCTCCCATGGCATCAGCCAGCAGCATCCCATGTGCCAAGGGCTCACCGAGGTGACCTTGCGGTAGATCTGGGCGGCATTCTGGCACTCAGAGTAGGGGTACTCCGAGGTGGCCATCTCCAGCATGCACATCCCAAAGGCATAGACATCCACCGCCTCATCGTACTTCTCCTCATACATCTCCGGTGCCATGAACTCAGGGGTGCCTGGAGGTGGCAGTGGAGCTCAGTACCCCCGAGGTGTCCACTCCCCGCACCCCCTGCAGCCCGGCCAGGCTGGGATCCCACCTATGACACTCTTGGCGAAGGAAGCTCGCTTGAGCGTGGCCAGGCCCAGGTCCCCGATTTTGACAGAGCCTGTGGGGCCTGTGATGAAGATGTTGTCACACTTGAGGTCACGGTGGATGATGGGGGGTGAGCGGGTGTGCAGGAAATGCAGCCCCTTGAGGATCTGTCGGCTCCAGCGCTGCAGAACCTTCAGCTTCATCTCCTTAAACCGCTTCAAATAGCTGCCAGGGACCCACAGGGCTCAGACCTGTGGGGCTCAGGCCCACAGCCCAGCTCCAGCCCAGCACACCCTCCTCCCCCTGTCATGCCTCAGGTGCCTACACGGGACAAGCAGCAAACAGCGCCTTGGCAGGGACCCTGCCCTGTCCCCTCCCGAACCCAGGGGGCCCTGCTCACGTTTTCAGGGTGCCCGACGTCATGAGCTCTGTGACCAGCACAATGCAGATTTGACCTTTGATGGTCGACTTCCATGAGTCGTAGAAGCGGTTGGGGTGCTGCAGCCCCTTCAGCATCTCCACCTCCTCGCTGAACCTCTGCCGCTCTGTCTTCGACAGCTTCCGCGTCTGCAGGAGCCAGCGAGGGGGTGAGGGGGTGCGTGGGGTCCTGACAAGCACAGGGGGATGCCCCAGCTACAAGAGACCCTCACATCCGCACCCCACTCCCTATGCACAAGTTGGCAGAGGCTGGGCTGGCCCTAGTGCAGC